TTTCATTTGATAAACACGTTTACATTGAATGGTAATTTATAATCAGTCACAAGAACGTCGAATCTGAATCACTTGAAAAAAACACAGGGGTGCTTAACTTTTTCCAGGTGTATATAACCATCAGTGAGGTGAACTGAATGTATTATCATTAAATCAAGAACAAAATATTTTGGGCTAAAACTGTTTTATCAAGAATGTACTCATTACCCTAAACAACCATTATCACTTAGCAGTATTTTAAGCACAAGATCTATTTTATTGGCTGAAAAATTAATAAATATATAAAGGTTAAAATATCTGTGCTTATCATTTAATGAAATGGATTAATGTAAATTTGGCAGTGAGTGATTATTTCATCAAAAGGTGTTTTGTCATATGAAAATCAGTTACTTGTGGCAGATTTTCAAAGCAGGTATCATTCTGATAGCTCTTCTTTGCACTCCTTTCCAGTGTACCAATATTGTTCCTATAATAATAAAAAGAGATCAAACTAAGTACAGAAAACCGAATGACGTCTAAGTCAATCTTGTACAAAGTTACTATAAATAATCATGCATTAACTGTCTAGTTTTAAATGGTGGATTAATTAAAATAATCTTCTAGACCAGTGTAAGACTAAGTTTGTATAAACAGTTCCACTCTTATCCTCTTTTCTTTTCACAATGTTAACATTCATTTTCATGAATCAGTGATATCTCCTCTAACTTTATTTTAAATGTAGCTGTATTTCTTAACATTATTTTAATTTCAAAACTTACTTTGTGCTTAATCACTTATATTTGTTGAACATCACTAAAAGGATGCAAATATTTTTTGATAGTTTAATTGTGATCAAAAAGATAGGTTTAGCTACACATGAAAGCACCAAACTTCACTACTGTAGTCTAAAACTTATACAAGATTTTATGATGGAAGACCACTCAGTTTTTAGTTTTCATTTCCTAAGACTGATAATATGAAATTCAAGGATACATAGTTCAAGGTCATTATACCAACATAAAATTGTACTAAAGTACTGAAACACTAATACTATATACAGAGTAGTTAGCAATACTGCTTTGGTTGAAACCTTTAACTTAATTTTTTATCATACAACTTCACAGCCTTCCAACAGTAAACTATACGACCCTAGTTCCAATTTGGGCACTATAATTCCTACAACACTTGAGATCTCTTATATTAACTTTGTCCTTCAAATTAAAAGAATGTTTTAATCTGATTTCAGTTTCAAAAGCTCATCAACTGTATTGGAATTTATAACTGATTAATATTTTTCTTCTTAATGATAAAGGAAATAATAACCAGAGAGAATAAGCTAAAATAACTTTTTGGTAACATGAGATTTAACTTAAAGAGGAGTGCATGTCTTCTCATTTACAATTTTAAAAAGTCTGTTTATATATTACAAGTAACCATTTAATATTCGCAGTGTTATGGATGACAAAGAACCATTTAAATCTTCAAGGCTTTTTCCCTGCACACTCACTGCTGAGAAAAATGAGAAATTTAAATTCACCAATTATTTTTCAGAAAATTATCAATTTTCCTCTTAAACAACCAAAAAATGCTGGCCTCCACTACTGCTGATGGTAACTAATTCCATAAGCTACTCACCCTGTAATAAAAATGTCTTAACTGGAGTCTAGCCTATCTTTTTGAAATGTTAAAACTTGCATCCTTTGATCTTAGTTTACAGGATATAGCCCAAAGAAATCAGAGGCCCTTATACTACTGATCCCTCCAGATAATCTTTTAAATTTCAGTAAGATTACTTCTTACCATTTCTTAAAGAGCAAATAAGAGATCTTAACAATCCTTATAAGATTAATGATTCCATCACTAGAATCATCCTCGTGGCCCTACTCTGAACCCTCTATAATGGGCCAATATCCTCTCTTGGTAAGGAGCCCAAAATTGCATATAATATTCCAAGTGAAGCTTAACTAGTTACTTGTGTGTGTGTGTGTGTGTGTGTATATATATATATATATATCACCTCTCTTCACTTACAATAAATGTTTATAAGTAAGCTATAAAATTTTACTGGTTTTACAACTATCAACAAAGTACTGCCTTGATGGTGTTAGTGACTTACCTATCAATATGCTAAGATCCCTTTCTTGAGTAATGCTACTGAGTTGGATCCCATGTATATTACATGAGTGATCCCCCATGTTATGAACACTAAAATGCATTACCTTGCATTGTCTGTAATCCTCTGTGGATCAGTGGTAAGTTTCACGACTTACAGTGCTAAAATCAAGGATTCAATTTTCTGCAGTGAACAGAACACCAATAGTCTTGATATAGTTGAGGCCACAACTGCAAATTTTGCAGAGCTTAGAAAGTTACAATGCACTACAATTGCAGGGATTGCATACTTGAGGATAAATTAAAGATACCTTTAGAGGAAGGTTGTGCTATAACAGGGTGTGGAGAGTAATAGATCAAGAGCAGAAATCAACAAAGCAAGGCAGAAAATGAATAATTAGGTTAAAGTTGCTTTGTGGGAGACGTAGAATAAAAGCACTACATTTACAAGGATGCACAATGGCAAAGAAACTTAGGGCTATAAGTGCAGGTTCAGTTGGCTTTCAGGTACTGGTCTCTAATAAATTTGAACCTTTGGCAACTTGAATGAGGAATACGATGATCAAGATTTTTACACAGTGAGGAATCTCTCAATAATTATACTGATAAAGTTACTTGTAGTGAGGTTCACTGAGAAACTTTGACTAGAATTTGTTTGCCTAGTGCTAAAGAACAGGACATGAGTGTAGTGCATGTAAAAGAGAATGATGTTAGAAGTAGTAAATCAGAAGAGTTACATAACCCTAAAATGCCAGCATTAAATTTTCAATCATTAACACCAGGTGGTATGAGATCACAGTGACCCCATGCTGACATTCTAGGGTTAAAATTATAAAGAACTCCTTCAGAGGTTTAGGGACAGAAAGAGATGTACAGTCCCATTCAAGATTGCTCCTTTAGGCTAGATGTGGGAACGAATTACTTAACAGGATTTAAGGCAACCCTTTAATAATCTCTCCATTTAAAAATAGAAGTAACAATAATAACTCTCCAGTTTTCAGGTATCTGCCCACTGTCTACTGCCCTATCAAAAATGAATGAGTGAGGTTTGCATATCTGATCTCTGACCTCCTTTAAATCCCTGAGGAAATCTTTGTCTGGGACAGGTGTTTTAATACTTCATTTTATCTGCACATCTTTAAATAATTGGTATCTACATTATTCAGGCCAATTCCAATATTTCCTATAGAATGCTCAGGCACAAGAATATTGCTAATTTCTTTTCTTATAGAAACAGAAAAGAACATTTAAAAGCTCAGCCATTTCATAGTTTTCAATTAAAACCTTGCCATAAATATCATTTAAAGGTTCAATTCCCATTTTAACATCTTTATTGGTTGATTGGATCAGACATCTAAGAACCACGAGTATTGCCAGTGCTGAACTTAAGCAGGCATTAAAGGATAGAGTAATACAACCACAGAAGAGTGTGGAGTCATCTCCAGAGGTGATTGTCATAAAGAAGGAAGGTACACCAAGATCCTATGAGGAATACAGATGGGTGAATGCAGTGACTTGTATTAATGCTGGATGATTTGGTTAATCAGTATAATCAATTATTATAAGCAGCAATTACATCAATGTTTTGTAAACCTATCAAAATTTTGGACTTCTGGCAAGAAGGAAACCAATTGGCTGGCAGCAACCAACACCAACTCTCTGGCTACTTAAGTGTTGAATAAAGTGTAAATTTACTGTTTTTTTTCATTGTAGTTAAATTTCTAATTGTGTAACTTAATTCTTTAATGTTGTATAAGTAGGCAGAGATCTCAGTGAGGAGAAGCAGTAATAAAGACAACTGAAAAAAAAAAAGAAAAAATTACACAAACAGGTAAAAAAAATTATATATATGTACAAATCAAACAAATTATGAGAAAGGATAAACAGAACATTAGGGTTTAATAGCAAGTGCTTAACCATATAAGAAGCTAATAGTGGGTGGCCATTGATTAGAAAACTGTATTAATAACAGCCTAATTATTAACTTGGTTTACATGGTTTCAATAATTGGCTTAGACTTGGCTTAGCTGTTATTGATACTGTTTTCCAAAATACTTTGATATTTTTACCTGTTTGTGTAATTTTCTTTGTCTTTTTTTTCCCTTGTTTTTATAACCTAGATTCAAGGAGGGAGAACTAGAGAGAATAAACCCCTACATTTTTTTCTGAAATTATTAATTATTCCTTAATTTTGCATAAAAAGGCATGCAACTAGGGTGGATAAGTAGGTGGAGATCTAGGGCATCTGAGTCCTCTTCGTTTTTCTCAGAAATTAACAAAAAACAGCTATACTTCCTTACATTACTATATAGTATAAAAACAAACTTTAGATGTGTTTTTATTTACTTGGGATATTAAGAACCATTAAGTTTTTTTTTTTTTTTTTGTAAGTCTCTCAAATCAATACAGCTGGAGTCTACAGCAACCCAGTTAAGGCTTAAGCCAATAACTGATTATTTTCTAAGCTAATATAACAAAACGAATGTCAATTAAACATTGCCATGGTAAATTTTTAATGTCTTTCCTTTTTCCAGATGCTAACAAATTCATATTCTTCTAATAACAGTATGAAGGATATAGTGGTTAGAATGTTATACACGTTTAATTCTTAAAAACCTGTGTTTGCTCCATGTTTTTACTTGAAAATGACAGCACTAGTGGTCAAAGCATTGTACTTTTTTTCTAATATAAAAAAATTTCACAACTACCCACTGTAAGCTGTCAACAAATTTGAATATTACTATTTGGTATGAAAAAAAATGCTTGTATTACATTGTTGTTACTTGTTAACACAATAATGACATATTTATACTTGTCATGAGACATAAGTATAGGGCCTACTATATTTCTAGCAATTCATTCTTTATCCACTACAAATTTTCAAGAATTAGTGAATATTTCAACCACAGTATCTTCATCATACCACTATTGAAATACTATTATACACTTCCAATTCATGAAAATCCCCAAAAGACTAGATAAAGAATAAAATATTAAGAATATAGTAGGATTAATACTAATGTCTCATGATACGTATAATTAATTATAATTATGCTTTGCCACTCTGGAAAAGGTGTTCATGGCACAATAATAATACAATACTATCTGAATAGACTTTCTATTCTTATTTATTCCCTAATGATTTTCAAACTTGGTAAGATAACTATCAAAAGTTTATTTTAAAAATTAGAATAACATCAGTTTAAATTTAAGCTACTTAAAGAATGTCAAATTTACTAGGTTTTTACAGCATTTAAGCACTAATTTGTCTAATGAATAAATCAAGTTATGATTATTTATTTCCTCTGATTGGTCACAAAGTGCAAATAACCATTTACTTAAATATAAAACACTTAAGGACCTAACAGTAGTGCT